CTGGGTTCTCTCCCTGGCTCTGGGAGGGGACTGGGGTCTAGTGGTTAGAGCGGGCGAGGGGCTGGGAGCCAGGACTCCTGGGTTCTCCGACCAGGTCAGAGCAGTCCTCACCTGCCTTGTAGACCTTCACATCCTCCTGCACCTCTGGCCCGGCGCGCTGAACGATCCGGCTCCGTCCGCCCCACACCTCCGACTCCATGAAGGGGCAGTGGGTCTGGGAAGGGCTGGAGGCTGCTTCTGGGAGCCCCGACTCCTGGGGGACAGATCCTACTGCTGGGGAGAGACGGCCAAGCGAAAGGGATGGAACCCAGGAGTCCTGGCTCCCAGCCCCTCCTCCCCCTGCTGTAACCACTAGACCCTGCTCCCCTCCCAGAGCCAGGGAGAGAACCCAGGAGTCCTGGCTCCCAGCCCCGCCCACTGCTTACCAAGTGGGATGGAGTAGTCCGTCCCCCTCTGCAGGTCTGGGGAGGAGCCCATGAGGGTCCGGGCTACCATGACAGGACATCGCTGGGCACTGCTCACCAGCAGCGGGCGAGCTTTGAGCAAGAAGACGCTGGGGTCCCGGGTCAGGAAGGGGCAACGCTGGAGGAAGGAAGCCATTGTGCTGGATTGCGGTGCTGCCCAGGAGAGAGAAAGGGTGTGAGGAACCCAGGCATCCGGGACCCCCGCCCTGCAGCACGCCACCCCCTCCCAGCTCTTCGGGGGAGAGGGGAACATGCAGATACAGCTGGCCAGTTGTGCCTGGAGGGGTACGGCGGTGGTGGAGAACTTCCTTCCTGACCCTGGGGAGCCCTGAAGCATGTCATTGGCCAATTGGCCGAATTTGCCCCTCTGGGATTTTTTTTGACCGGGGGGCAAATCTGAAAATGGGAAGGGGGGGAGACACCTTGGCTCAGTACAGCCACACCAGTAAGCACCTGTCTGCCAATAGATCCAGGCGGGCAGAAATCGACGCCTTCCAGCAGACCAGCCCCCTGAGTGCCCCCACGGAGACTCCTCCCGAATGACTGATCCCCACCCCCATCCCAGAGGAATAACAATAGGGGGACAGGTGGGGAGGGGACCATCCGTCGAGCGGGATTGGAGGGTGAGTGGACGGGACCCGTCTCCGTCCCACGTCCCGTCGGTCTCTATGGACTGAGTGCGAGGTTGTGTGACAGTCGGACACCCCGGAGCAGGGTGGCAGGGTGGGGCCGTGTCTGTTGGAGGCTGATAAGAGCCATGGGGGGGGCCCACCCAACGCAGCTGCAGGGAATGGGTGGGTTTGCGGTAGTGGGGGGTGACGGATGGACGGGGGGCAGAGGGGAGGCCCTAGAAGAATGACGCCCCGAGTGCCCAGGGGATTTTATGGGGGCAGCACCGCCCAGGCCCCATTCTCTGCCCCCCCCCCGAGCCAGTGCCCTCCTTGCCGTGGGGCCAGATCAGAGCCAGTGCCCCCTCGAGAGGCAGGGCCCCCTAACATACTTGAGGGGTGAAGCCATGGGGCTGAGCTATGGTGTCTCCGCGTTGCTGACGGCCCCAGGCTGGCTGGGGCCTCCCCCCAGCAGAACCCCCCCAACCCCTCCAGGCTTCATTGCCTCCCCCCAAAGCGTGCCCTCCTCGGGCTCCCCTTCCCCCTAACCGCCCCCCCATCTGAGTCCCCCATTTATCCCCCCAGCAGCCCACCGTCCTCCCTAACCACCCCCATGCTCCCCCCCACTGACCCCCTCATGCTCCCCCCGATGACCCCCCCGTTACCTGTTGTCCTGCACTGAGGACGAACAACCAGCACTGACTGACACCCCCCCGAGAGGCTGCCTGGGCCCCCTCTCGCCAGCCCCACCCCATAACGGAGCCGCCCAGGCCCACAGATAAGAACAGGCTCTACAGGGCTGAGGGGGGGGAGGGAAGGGCCCGTGTTGCAGCTCGGGGGGAGGGACAGGCCCAGAGGCTGAGCCCCGGATGCCTGGGTTCTATATCCCAGCACCCCGGCCCTGCCCCCGGCTCCCAAAGTCGCCCTCATTGGGAGGAATGGGGCTGAGATCCAGAACACTCATTTCAGGCACACAGGCCAGGTCAGCACTAATCCCCCTCTAGCCAGAAATACAGGGAGACCTGGCTCCTAGCCCCCGCCCCCCAGCTCTAACCACTAGCCCCCACTGCCCTCCCAGAGCCGGGAGCGAACCCAGGAGTCCTGGCTCCCAGCCCCCCAGCTCTAACCACTAGCCCCCACTGCCCTCCCAGAGCCGGGGAGTGAACCCAGGAGTCCTGGCTCCCAGCCCCCCTGCTCTAACCACTAGACCCCACTCCCCTCCCAGAGCCGGGGAGAGAACCCAGGAGACCCTGGTGTTTGTAGGGGGGGCACTGGGCTCGCGGGGGGCTGTGGGTCGGAATGGGGGCGGGGGGAGAACTATGGGGGGTCTGGGGGTCTGCAGATGCCCAAGGGCACCTGTTATAGGACCAATGTTACCCCCCCAGCACCCCAGGGACGGGGGGGCCGCTGGGGGCGGGAGAAGCGATGGGGGAGGGAGGGGTGCAGAAGAGGACGGAGGGAGGGGGCCCGGGGGAGGAAGCTGGGGGG